CACCTTGCAAGTGTGTTAGTAGGTACGTGTGCTTTAGTACTGCGGCCAGTTTTTCCTTTGTATGAATAATTGCCCTGTATAAATCGCGAAAATGGAGCTAGTCTTCATGGTAACCTGAAAAAACAGAAACGTTCACATTGGATAATCCGCTCCACAATGCTTGATTGTTCACCAAAGGGTTAGAAGTAGTACCTCTGTTAGCGTTCGGTGATATGTTATCTAGGTAATCGTCGTATTAACCTAAAACCGAATAAAAAGAGTCGGACACGATGTCAACCAAGTTTTCCTTGAAATATGCGTGCTCGACAGACGCATCAGCCAACTCTAAGATGTTCTGGTTATTTGTCTTGAACTCTTCGTACAGTTCCTTTAGTTGAGCAATGCCCGACCTGCATTGACCAGCAGTCATCTTTTTTTGCTCTTCTTTCTTGGAATTCGTAAAAGAATTCTTTGTTTTTTCTCAAGTTTTTTCTGAACGTTATATAACTGATCCATTTTGATTTCAATTTTAAGGCAAGAAAGTTCAAATTTTCAAAACAAAATTTAATAGCAGTAAAGAGAAGAAGAGAAAAAAAAACCAACAAAAAAAAACTGAGAAATTTAGACTAATTAGCTGAGGGTGAATGTTCCTAATTCACCTAAAGCAAGAACTTTCTAATATTAAAACTTCTTTAGATTGGATCCGCCTCCCATTCACTACTTAATAACTGTTCATAGTCAGGAGGTTTCTAAGATGACTAAAACCTAGCATGGACCTACAGATCTGGAAGGCAAACCAAACTTATTTTTCTAATTTAGTTTTACCTACTTTTAATCAACTAATTTAGCTTGAGGATGACAGATTGCTTCGATCTTCTTACAATTTATAAGGATATTTTAGCTTTGAAATACTTTGATGATAATCATTCAAACTACTTCGCTTATTTAACTTATAAACAACAAAAATAGTTCAAATCAATAGGATTTTTAGGTTAATTTTTATCAAATAAATTTTCTTAAAAACAACAAAATTTGGAAATCGCTTAAAAATATAAAAGAGAAAAATCTCAAACTGAAATTTTATGACAAATAGATCACGCTTACATTAAAGTTTTTTTAAAATTTTCCAGCACTCTAAAAAATTTTGAATTTAACTTTCATTTTTTCTAACCTGAAATATCAGACGCACTTATGTCGTATATAGTTGGTTGCATTAACCAACTTGCTGCCTTTTAGCTTGCTGCTGCACTTGCTTAATGCGAAGAAGTCCTCCTTCCTTTGAAGTCCAGCCTTCTAGTTGGCGCGTGAGAACGGTGGTGAATGACCGGGTTTCGTGCAGTCGTCTGCCTCGCAGTCACAGCGGTGAACAGCCTTCCCCCGCTCAACTGACTGGCTGGTATAGGCTGCTCGCCTTTCTCCAGTCTACATGCGTTAAGCCGTTAGCTGTTGCACTAAGTAGCAGCAGCCTTTCTGTCGTCCATTTGATCTCAGTATATACCTGTCGTGGCTTTTGAGAGGGAAAACTCACTACCCGCTTCCAGCAGCCTTGGACTCGAAAGCCTGTTGAGGTACTTCCTCCGCGTTGAGAATAGTAAATTTTAACTTTTATTAGCCACATGGCTAATCAAGATGGCTGCTTTTACTGTTCAGCTATTTAGTAGAGCGAGAACCACCTGGCTCAACGGTTGGTGGAGATGAGAGCGACGAGAGCTCTCTCACTATGCTCGTTCGCTTCGCTTTTACACTCGAGTGATTGTCGCTGTATTCGTGCCCACGCCTGCGCGCCCACAGTTTACACTATTCCCTATTTTGCCAATTTTGTACGTACAGCTTAAGTAGCAATAGTTTTTATAATTAATTTTTATTTTGATTTATATTTTTACCTTGATTTAATGGCAATATNACAGTCTCGTACTGGCCAGCCTCCATATTATTTATATTGTGTTGTGTCACAAAATATTGTCTGTAATTGTTCTGTTATCAGGTATGAAAACATTTATTGTAACCACACTTAACTAACGTAGGTATACACATTCCATGGATAACTTGTACATAGTATCGTTTCATGCGAGGTATACTTATATTTATCATTACATTATTTGCCATATTATATCAAAAAAGTATAACTTATTACTTGGGTACCCAAGCACCTACTGTGTACTGGTTTTTTATTCATTATTAAATGCTAAAAATTTCTTAAAATAAGTTTAAAAAATGCTCCACTTACCCCATCGAAGGGCACGAGGTGGCATAAGGTAGGGCACGCGGAGCACGGTGGTTATGAAGTGCATAGTTTAGTTGTAAGTATTTTTATGATAAAACTAATGTTATTCTTAACAAAATGAAATAATTGCAAATTTTCCGATTCGGCTACTTTACATTTTGCTGTTAGTGTACAATTACGCAGAAAAGAGTTCACATACCTTTTTTTAATTTTTACGAATAAACGAATACAATGACGTCATGTATTTAATGTATGTATATTAAATGCTACCAAATAATTATAAAACTAATGCACACACACACACACACACACACACACACACATTAAACACTACGATGGTGCGAATAATAAAAAAAGTATATATAAGTATGTATATTTGCATGTGTGTTTGTATGTTAATATAAAACTGTCATGTATCAACATATTATAATTTTTATACACACACTTAATACAATTTACCAAGTGTAATCAACTATGTTAATCACTAAACATTGCAAGTTGGCACTCAAACCATCTTGTATTGTTTACATATGGATCAGGTTAGGTATAAAATCAGCAGACGATCCACGCAGCCGACTTACGAGCCTTATGGCTGTTACCGTGCTACTCCTGCCCTACCCAAAGTGACACGCCTGCCCCATTTTAATACAATTTTATATTGTTTATTGCGGTTCTTATATAAACTTTAGAATGAAAAAAATCGTTAGACAAGAAAGTTAAGGATCTGAGCTATTAAATTGACCTATTTTTGTTTACAAAATATAACACTTTCGACCTGCTTCAAGCTATTGAAAAACGAAGGAAACATTTTTTCAGTACACTACATTTAAAAATTATGAAATAAATAGAAAACGTTATTATATGACATTATAAACTCAGAGGACAATAGTAAGAGCCTTTTTTATTTAATTTCTATGAAAATGTTATTTTAAAAATGCATGAATATTAATAATATTAAGGTGCCATGCTTTGCAGCCCTGCTCAACGTGCTCTCCCCTCCCCACGGTGGCAGGCATTCGCGCACGCTCTCTTTCTTTCTTTCTCTCAGCATCACCGAACGGCACATAAATTTCAAAGTGAAATTGTATCAGAAACTTGAAAATACAACAAGTAGGGATAAATTTTTAAGATAACATATAAACCAGGAAAATATTAAAAAACCCTGATTGGAAATTTTTAACATAAGCACCTTAGCTAGCATTTATTTGTCCTCGTGTGGCAAATGCATTGCGTTAGATGGTGACGTGATGTTACAGGGAAAGAGCTTGGTCCTAGCTAGACATCCTAGTTTGTCTACATATATATGTAGTAATTGTATACACCTATATAGGTAAAGTTTATATAATAATTTTGTATATAATTCTCAGAGCTTTTCGAAATTTAGAGAAAATAGCTATCAATTAAAATTGTTTATCTTGTAATAGATGGATAAAACTTTAATCTTTGTAAAAAAATGTCTACATTAAGAATACTTTGATTACCCTCATGGACTCTAGTAATTTTTAAACAAGATATCCTTATGGATTTTTCGGCTAGTTAAGGATGTTGCCTAGTTATGTAAAATAATGACATTATCTTATGAAGATTAGAAATGGTAATATTTAGACTATCCTTAATCCACTCATACTTTTTCTAGCATGTGTTATATTATCAAATATTAAGAAATAACACAACGAAAAATCGTGTTTAGCATGTGCTCTTATGGGACGGCTGCTGTATCAGCATTAAAAACTATGATAGAACTAATGTATGTCAACAAAACTTGCAGGACAGATGAAAAACTATTTAAGAAGTATCATGCAAAGTCTCAACCCATCCTATTATAGTTTTTGTAGGTTTAAGCATTTAAATAATATCAATTCCTTTAAAGATGACTTATTAGGGTAGTATTATACTATGCTCATCTAGTTTATTTAAGGTATCCGTATTAATGTAGTTACCTACAAAAAATAAATTAAATAGGCTACATTTTTAAGGACGTTGCTCTATTTATGCAAAAAATAACAAAATTACTCAAAACTTGAAAGTATGGTAGATAAGACTATTCTACAGTTATTTCTATATAACAAGTCTCATCTTTTTTTTTTTTAATTTGTAATTTCGAGTGTCTTTTCATATGGCATTCTGTATATCATCACCAATCTAATACCCCTTTTGTAAGACCATATTTAAAAACATATGAATAATGACTTATTACTATCCCGAAGTAATTACACATGAAATTCTGTCATTCATTTTTCTGGTGGGTAGCCTAGTAGAAATTTTCGATTGAGAATATATGTATGCGTGACGTTCGTAAATGGTGCAAAAATCTGAAAGCACATAAAACAAGACGGCAAAAATTCGTGTGATAAATTTTGATAAATATAAAATAATGAATAATTATTGATCAGTTATTCATTTTTAAATAAAAATAATGTTAAATTGACAAAAATTATATAATTCAAAATAATAGTTTCTTTATAGAAACNATATTTATTAACAATCGATTAATTGATTTGGTTTGACTAAGAACTATATTAATTAATAAATTATTCATTTAATAATCTAAGTTTTGTTGTTAAATAATTTTTTTCAAAACTTAAAAACTATCATTTCCTAATAGAGCAGCTGTCTTATGTATTGATAAATACTATTTACTTATCATTAGTTTCTTAATTTGACAATAAATAAAAAATCGTTCACTCAATTTTTTTTCCAAATGTTAAAAAAGTTTATAAGCAGTTTTACATTTTTTTGCACTCCACAAATGCTTTCAATGCACACAATAAATGTTAAAATGGCTTATTTTTTCCAGCCTGCACTAGATACGAGACGGCAAGTACAGGTGAAGATGCTGGAAGGGTTACCACTTATATAACAAATGGTGAGCGTGCAGCCTTTGCAGAGTTTCCTTACATGGTGGCTTTGGGATATCCAAGAGATGATGGTTTGCCACAGCTGAGATATATTTGTGGTGGAACTTTGATTCATGAAAAATATGTTTTAACTGCAGCCCATTGCGTTAGTAACTTAGATAATGTAGTTCCAGTACAGGTAAAAATTTAAAGCTCAAAAATAAAATGATCTTACTTTAATATCTTACGAACGATTTGGTAAACATAAAATTAAAAAATATTAATGCACGAGCCGTAAGACAGTTGACAGTCAAAAAAACTTTACGGGTAATTATACAATTTAATTTAAGTGTGCTTTTCTGCTATTTTTTGATATTTACATTAAAAAAAGATATCGTCTATTGTTTTACATCAACATTTATAAATAGAACGAAAATGGGCTATAAGAACAAATAATTATAACGTTATTTACTGTCAAATTACCTAATGAGCTTATTTCTTTACTTGTAAATATATTATGATTTTTTTTGCATCTGGACTTTTACTTTTAGGAACCTCATAAAACAGCGTTTTTTTTTAATTTAAAGAGCACAATTACATTTTTATTTACTGTAATTCCTTAATTATAGTCAATATTGAAATATATAGTCATTTTATAATATTCACTTATCCTTAGATTTTTACACTACCGTGTTACTCTACTTTTGAAAAAATTTGTTAAAAATGTAACTTTTGATGTGACCAACCCTCCTTCAAATACATAACTTCTTTTTCCAAAATTCATGGACTATTCCATTTTTACATTAACTCTACTCTAAAAAACAGCAACAACTTGTAACCGTCTAAGTTGAGTAGAACGTTAGTGGTTATTTTTACTCATTCTTTACATAAAAATCAACAAAAGATTTACATAAAAATTTATTACAAGTGTATGATTCTTAGAAAGGTATGATTAGTTTTCCGAAAAAAGTTAATTTTCACTGAAAAAAAACACAACACATGCTATATCATGAAATAGGCATTTTTAATATTTTTTTGGTAGGCTAGTTGGCAAGCTGAGGTTTTTTTACATTTAAAACGTCTTTTTGCACAGTATGCTTTCACTGAAAAATTTGAGTAAAATAATACCAAAGAGTGGACGTTCAGCCGTCCAAACGCGCACCGAGGCTCGGCGTGGCACCGCGCTACGCTCAAGTTAACTATGAATATTATTAATTTATAAATACTTTCTAAACAAGTATTTTCTATTATTTTTTAGTTTTAAGTGAAGTTCAAGATGTAGACTTCTTGGTTTTATTATTTTGTTTGGGAAAAAGTTGATACTGAGAGCACATTGATGTTTTTTTTTATATTTCAATGATTGGAATGACAGCACGGAGTTGCAAAGTACCTAGTATTAATTTTTCTTTAGTAAATCGACATTTAAGTTTAATTTTTATATTTTCTACGACTATTTACTTAAATAAAAAACTGTCATTTTCTTGAAATAATTATTTGCCCAGTCGTACAAGCTTTCTGCTGTTAAGATTCGGTTATTAGAGGAAACTTGAAGACTTGCACGTCTTGCACCTCTCTTCAAATTGGTTTCAATACCGTCACATGCTCCCTTTCCATGAGCAGTGGCAAAAAAGTGCCATTCATAATCAATTTAAAAATTTTTTTTTTGTAAAAGTATGTTTCTAAAATTGCTCTTATTTTTGTAATGTTGACTGGTCCCATTAGTTATGTAAAAAATTTTCTTTACTACAAACTTGGATTTTAAATAATTTATTATAACTTTTTGATACTCATATACAGCAATTGTATCATGATTTAGGTTATCAGAAATAACAGCAATACTTATGTGTTGAAGCTCATCTTTTTCTTTATAATAAATTTCAACTGTAGAAATGGAAGCTTGGTTATGGTTAAAATGAAAAGATTGGGTTGAATTCTGTATAACAAAGGCATAATTTTCCAAAAAAATCACAAGTTACAATAAATTCTCCACTTTTAAGATTTTTTTTTTAGTTTATTAATAAAAAGTAATTGTTTCGTGGCAAAATAACTATGAGTTTTGAGTTTTAATAATTTTTCTCCTAGTAAGTCAACGAAATCACGAGAATTCAAAGTTTGTAAAGCAATGGTACATCTGTTTGCTTAAAACTACGATTTATATTTGATTTTAAAAATATTACATTTTTCAAAACATTCAAGAAGATGTGGACGTAACGTTGACATATTGAGACAATCTAAACATTCTGCACTTAAGAAACATTTTTCAATAGAGTTTCTGCACACTACTGCTTTAATACAGTCGTGATATTTTTTAAGAGGCAGCTCAGTATTCTACGTTAAATGTTCCAGATCTATAGCTTCGAGAATTAGTTTAAAACTTTCATGATGTACACATACGCATACATTATGTGTACCGCTAGTTCCAGCTAAAACGCATTGTGATAGCCTTAATTGTGAAAATTTAGTATACCATACAGTATAATCACCATACTCTTTTTTAAATAAGCAATAAATTTCATTAATGTTTCCAAGCAGTAATCTTTTCTGAACATGTTTTCGTTCACCATTTTCCTGCTTGACAGATACGAAATCTTTCATACCTGGAATTAATTGACTTATATCGTCTCTTTCATGAAAATTTTTAACTAAAACTATGAGTTCTTCTGAAAGAGAATTGCCTTTTTGTTCAGGTGGTATTGAGAGTACGCCGCTTTTTTCTTGTAATATTCACGCTGCTCGAGCTTCTCTCTCACTGCAACCAAACTCTCTCATCAGATCATTACGACTCTAAAAATCAGGAGCAAGAGTGAGTAGCTGTATGCTCTCCTGCTTCTCTGTAAACTCTAAAAACTTTTTTTGTTTTTTTCGAGAACTACAACTGCTGCTTTGTAATAATTATTCCCACATTCAAGTTTCAATTTTTTCCCATCATCATTACCTGAATCAGATTTCTGCTTGTAAATTAAACGACGACACATCACGCAGATTTTTGAATTTTCTGGGACAAACGGATGAATATTTCTCATTGAGTTTAGGAAAGGAATCAAATCTTTAGAAGATGAGTAATTGATAAGTTTTAAAGGATTAATACATTTTTTAGCCATCATGAATAAACGATTGGTACAATCGCTTAAAGTGTTAAATTGACTTTTTCAAAACAATTAAGTATAAATGCCTTTGTACAATGGCTTATTTAAGGAATCCTGTTTAACAAATTAAGTGTGAGCTTATGATTTTGGCAAATACGCCATCCACGGCAAGTTGAATAAATTAAAATGTACAAGGCAATTATAATGAATTCAGAACTAAAATACGCTGTATATACAGACGGTTCTTTTAATTCTAGCTGAAAATCATATAAAAAATAAAAGATTCTATTTTAATTATACAATACTATATTAATTATTAACGTATAAGCATATTTCATTGTTAAATAATTAATTAAATAGTACAAAACTAATAATATAAGTTAACCTAAGTGGAGCGTGGTGTAGTGCCAGCTTTTGGCGCGCATTCAGGCGGCTGAACGTCTACTCTTTGGTATTGTTTTACTACAATTTTTCAGTATAAACACACTGTGCAAAAAGACGTTTACAATGTAAAAAAATCTCAGCTTTTCATCGAGCCTATCAAAAAAAATATTAAAAATATCTTTTTCATGATACAGCATGTTTTGTGTTTTTTTTTAGTGAAAATGAAGTTTTTTTTAAAAACTTACCATTCTATTGGAAAGCTGACTGAAAAGTACATCGAAAACGCTATTTGTAACATTTTTTGAAGTTAGGAATAAGGCCCAGAAAATAAGCTGAAAACAGTGACTTTCAGTGCTCGCGTGGCGGGCCTGGGACACCTCATACACAGGGATGTTCTTAAAAAAAATTAAAGTACCCACACAAATAGCATATGATTAAGTTTACAGAGCTGTTTTTGTGATTTAAGTACGAAAGTGTCTCTTGCTCATTGCAACAAAAATAGTATTATACAAATAGTATGATTAGTTTACCTGTATTTTTTACAAACTAGATATACTGCTTTTTCAGCAATGCAAGAAAAAGTGAGCGATTTTCGCAAATATCTTAATTAATGAGCTTAGCGAAAATGGGGACATTCACCTTACCTCTCGTATGAATTTCTGTTCGCTTCAAACGTCTTGCATAGTTGCATAAAAAAAGGTAAAAATAGACAGAAAAAAGAATCGTTGGAAATTGAGAAACTGAAGCAAATAAAGAAATGATTAGTATGTTTCTAAGAAACACCCCAGTTCTAGTTTGATATTTTTATAAGTTCTATAAATTAAAGTTATTTTTTTAATTTGAATTTAATAAATAAAGTACTTCAACATATATTTTGAGTATAGAGTCACGTAACAACGAATTTTGGTATATCACGATATTTTGCAAACGAAAATGGAGACCTTTACAGAGACGTTTTCAAACTGATATTTGTGTCTGTTTAATATTAAAGTATTTTTTTTCATATTTTTTCATCAAAAAGCTAAAGCAATCTTAAAATAAGTTAAAACTTATTTAAGAATTATTTGACAACATAATCTTATACATAATAACATTTTCTAAGCGTTTAAATGAAATAAGCTTCATACGACAAAGTCACCCGAAAATTTAAAATCTACTAACTTTTTTCTGATAGAGTTTAAAGCAAGTAGCATTAAAAAACTAAATAATTGTTCTGAAATATAAACTTTCATAAGATTTAACCCTGACTGTAAATATGCTTTATTATTCTTATAGGATTAAAAAAAAGCGTTATCTATAATGAATTTTTAAAAGAATAAGACTTTTAGAGTAGAATAAGATTGCGTAATGGCCAAAGAAAGATAATAAAATTATAATTATATCAAGATTGTCCAAAAAGTATTTGAGACAGCTTTACACTACTGTGCAAGCATTATCACTCCTTCTGAGGCTAACAGCGCCATTTTAAAGTAGTTATTATTTGACTAAACAACGTGTTGCTAGCACTGTTTTGACTTTTCAAAATACTCCTGAAAATGAGTGTTTTTGTATGTTTTTGCATTTAAATCAATATTCGTTGAGCAATTTTGTCAAATTCAAGAACAATCAAAGTTTATAATGGATCATTTCAGGACCTTATAAAAATTTGTAGAGCAGTGAAATATTGTGTTTAGCTTCAGATGTCTGCACCAGATTTAATAAGCTTATGCTGATAAGTCGTTTATCTGAT